AAGTTAGAGGACTGACACTGCCTGACTTCAAGACTTACTATAAAGCTACAGTAACCAAGACAGTGGTATTGGTGAAAGAACAAACAAATAGATCAATGGAATAGAATAGAGAGACCAGAAATAGACCCACCTAAATATAGCCAACTGGTCATTGACAAAGGAGTGAAGGCAATATAATGAAGCAAAGATAGTCCTTCAAATGGTGGAGAACAACTGGACATCCACGTGCAAAAAACAAATCTAGACACAGACCTTACACCCTTCATAAAAGTTAACTCAAAATGAATCACTGACCTAAAGGTAAAATGCAAAACTATAAAACTCCTAGAAGATAACATAGGAGAAAACCTAGACAACCTTAGGTATGGTGATGACTTTTTAGTCACACCAAAGACATGATATATAAAATAAATAATTGATATGCTAGACTTCATTAAAATTGAAAACTTCCTCTTTCTGAAAGACAACATCAAGAGAATGGAAAGATAAGCCACAGACTGGGAGAAAATATTTGCAAAAGACACATCAGTAAAAAGCTTTATCCAAAATACATGAAGAACTCTTAAAATTCAACAGTAAGAAAATAGACAACCGGATTAAAAAATGGGCCAAAGATCTTAACAGACACCTCACAAAAAAGATATACAGATGGCAAATAAGCATATGAAAAGATGCTCCATATCACATGTCGTCAGGGAAATGCAAATTAAAACAATAATGAAATACCACTATATACCTATTAGCATGACCAAAATCCAGAACACTGACAACACCAAATGCTTGCAGGGATGTGGAGCAACAGAAGCTCTCGTTCATTGCTGGTGGGAATGCAAAATGGTATAGCCACCTTGGAAGACAATTTGGCAGTTTCTTACAAAATTGAACATCCTCTTACCATTTGACCCTGCAATTTTGCTCCTTAGTATTTACCCAAAGGAATTGATAACTTATGTCCACACGCAAAAATGCACGTGGATGTTTATAGCAGCTTTATTCATAATTGCCAAAACTTGGAAGCAACTAAGATGTCCTTCAGTAGGTAATTGGATAAATAAACTGCAGTATATCTAGATAATGGAATATTACTCATCACTAAAAAGAAATGAGCTATCAAGCCATGCAGACCTGGAGGAAACTTGAATGCATATTACTAAGTGAAATAAGCCAATTTGAAAAGGCTACATACTGTATGGTTCCAACTCTGTGACATTCTGGAAAAATCAAAACTATGGAGACAGTAAAAAGATCAGCGATTGCCAGGGATTGGTCGGGGAGGGATGAATAGGCAGAGAACAGAGTATTTTTAGGGCAGTGAAAATGCTTTGTTTAATACCATAATGATGGACATATGTCATTATACATTTGTCCAAACTCATAGAATGTACAATACCAAGAGTGGACTCTAATGTAGACCATAGACTTTGAGTGATTATGATGTGTCAACATAGGTTCATCAATTGTAACAAATGTACCAATCTGGTGGGAGGTGTTGATCATGGGGGAAGCTCTGAATGAACAGGGGCAGGAAGTATATGGGAAATCTCTGTGCCTTTCGCTCAATTTTGCTCTGAACCTAAAACTGCTCTAAAAAAATAAAGTCTTAATTTTAAAAAATGAAGTTCTTTCTATTTCTATCTTCTTTCTTTTTCTTTTTCTGGTGGATGCCCCAAAAGACCAAAAGCGAAACCAGTAGAAAATGTTCTATTCCAAAATAAGATGCTACATTCCTCATCCAGAACTTGCAAATAAGGTGGTCAAACACTGGTTTTACAACTCCTAGCCCCACACCCACCTTAAGAATATCGCGTTGTTGGGGCCAGCCCGTGGCCAAGTGGTTAAGTTTGCACTCCACTTTGGGGGCCTAGGGTTCCTTGGTTGGGATCCTGGATGTGGACCTACATACTGCTCGTCAGGCCATGCTGTGGCAGCATCCCACATGGAAAAACTAGAATGACTTACAACTAGGATTTGCAGCTACGTACGGGGACTTTGGGGAGGAAAAAAAAAAAAGGATGAAGATTGGCAACAGATTTTAGCTCAGGGCCAATCTTCCTCACCAAAAAGCATACCTTAAAAAAAAAAAGAATGTATTGTTAAAATGAGAAGGGTAACTTACCAGACTCCTAGGGGCTGAGAGCAGAATCACAAGCAGTCAGCCAGAGGAGATGCATTCCCTGTGTCGTGGGAAGTTCAGACAGATGTTTCCAGAGGGGAAATCTCTGGGGAACCTACAAAATGCCCCATGATAGAGAGAGAGAGAAACCATGACGTGAAAGGTGAGTGCTAGCTCCTTGGGCTTTGGGTTGTTTTGCCAAATGGAGAAAGCTCAGTTCAAGTCAATAAATGGAGAACTGGGGAATGCTCTCAATTAACATGTTCTTTTCACTTCAGAACCCTGCTGCCATTAGTTTTTAAACTTTTCTGGGTTTTGCTTACTTTTTATTTCTTAGTCTGCTTTTCTGCAGTAAAGACAAATATTTTCCTCCCTAATGACTGCATTCCTCTCACATGAAATTTATGCTCAGTAGGCAGCTAGCAAAATCCATTCAGCATTTCTTTTGGTTGTTAGTTATTAGTTTATTTATTTTAGATGATTTGGTTGATGTTATTTTAAAATCCCTTGGAGTTTACCACCCCTCTCCCATCATGTTCGATGAAACAGATATTTAAAATATCTTTTATTAAAAGTGCTCATAAATAGAGGGTTTATGTGCCTCTCACAATTGTCAACTTGTTACGTGCCTTCTGATAATCTCATTGCATTTACTTTCACCTCTCTGAGGAAGGAATTAGACACTAAGACATGTTTGGGATGAGAAGGTCTAGTTTGCTCTTTGCAATGATTGAGAAGTTCAGTGGGTTGGATGTCTAGGGTGGGAAGGTGTGAAGCAGAACTGACACAGCCAGGACACCCTGGTGCTCATCTTACAGTATCGAAATGACCCCACACTGGTTAGTAATAAACAGGCACTGCTGCAAGACCCCATTGTTTGGCACCTTGGTTCCCCTGGACTTCCCCACAACCCAGCAGCTACAGGGTGAAGCCTGGCACACCTGGGGTCCCTGTTGGATTGGTGGTGCTGGTCCACCAGGCTGTTCAATATTACGAATATCACCCCTTGGTGAAAGGAATTACTACTGGATTGGCGTTCCTGAGGGAATTCTGGGAAAATGGACATAATAATAACAGGGGTTAACATCTATTGAGAACTGTTCTAAAGGCTTTATACATATTTACTCATTCAACATCCTTGACAATCCTGTTTCCCAACTCCTCTTAATCAAACATTTTTTTCCTCTCACACTGATTCATTCAACTAGTATTTATTAAGTACCTAATATGGGCCAAGTAATGTGTTAGGTTTTGGGGTACAATGAAATATAAGACATGGTCCCTGCTTTCCAGTGGGGAGACGGATGGATCCCTAGATAAATTATAATGTGATGTGATAAATGCCATAATGAAGATGTTAAACATTATGGGATTACAGAGGAAGTAGGGACGTAAAAGTTTTGATCAGTCAATACAGCAATATTTTAAAATGTTCACTTTGTTAAATCTTTATTAGTGAATCAAATTCTAAGTCGAGTTCATTGTGGGCAAATGAAAACTGTTACTTTTCAAATGTGATAGTTTTAAAGAGTGAGCATTTGTAGAGCAGTTACAAAGTTATGAAATGAAAATAAGTTATTAAAAATGTTAATCACAGAGTCAGCCTCTTACAGTGTCAAATGCAGTATAATCATGTTCAGGACCGTTAATAGTAAGTCAAATAGTTCAAATTCAGAGCATGCTGAAAAGAAAACTCGTTTTCCTCAATTTATCATCTGAAAAAAGGCATTTTCCTGGAAAGATTTAGAACACAGCTTTCATCAAGGTTGTGGCAGTTCATACTTTATTCCTGAATACATGGCAAATGAATAAAACATCAGAAAATTTGAATGACAAGCTTGTCTTTAAGAAATTTTACTGGCAACAACACAAATCCTGGACCTCATCTTTCACATGTCACCTCCTTGGTGAAGTCATCTGCGAATGCTGCAGAGACAGAATCACTTGCTCCCTGTGGGGTTTCTTTCACACCCTGTGCTTCATCACAGTATGGTAATTCTTTGCTGGCCTTTGTCGGCCCCTCAAGAATGTGAGGTAGGGAGATCACCCCCTCCCGCTGCAGACCAGGAGGCAGGGAGGCTGCTTAAAGATCTCAGTGTCACCCGATAGCACAGGGCCTGAGAACAAGGAGAAGGCTCTCAGCAAACCTGGCAATGAAGGAATGAGGTGTATTTGTCCATCAGTTCCTCAACCAAGACACCCAGTGTTCTGGATCTTAATTCTATTGAGGGGACTGAATATCTCAAGGACTTGGAGTGGTATTATGTGGGCTGGAGTTCAGGTGGCCTTAAGAGAGGTTAATTAATTAGACATCACATTTTAGTTCCTGCTAATTAGAATGACCTGCCAAGAAGAATTAAAGCGCAATTTGTAACTCATTTTGATTGTCCTTTCTCATGGCCCCAGCTGAGTTAAAACGTGGAGGGAAAGACAGGAGAAAGACCTAGGGGTCAGAAGACAACTTACAAATGGCCTTGGGTCCCAGCAGCGGCACAGATGGGACTCCGGGGAGCAGCTCCAGGCGCAGGCCCCAGGACGGACACGGAGGGGCACCAGAGGTGGAACAGCCTGAGGCAACAGCCCAGTCCTGCGTGCTGAGGAGCTCCGGGGTGTGTGGGGGGAAGCGGGGAGGTTGCCGAGGATGTATAAAGACCTTCGGGGCGCACTGCGGCAGGCAGTCCTGCCTCGCAGCCTACCCCGGGGCTAGATCAGCCCGCCACACTGAGAGCAGGTTTCCAAATCGCTCTAGACTTCGAAGCGGCAATTCAGCGGGGGTTCGGGTGGAGTGCGAAGTTGAAGGGACGTGGCGGGGAAAGGAAGGTGGGGGCCCTCAGAGCGCAAGCTCCAGGCCGAGAACAGCATTCAAGATAGAGCCTCAGGGATAACGATGCTGTCCGCATCACCCCCGGATCCCTGTCCCCGTCCTGTGAGGTGGGCATGGCGGTAACAAGGGTTACCTCCACTTTACAGATAGGGGAAAAGAAGGCACAGAGAGGGTGTCTTGACTATGGGTCACCTGCTGGCGGTTGGCTGACCGAGCGGAATAAACTGCCAGATCCCCTGCTCTCGCTACCCTTGACGGGCCTCCCCCTCCTCCCAGCCTGGCTCCACTGGCCGCAAAAGTCAGCCTTGCACTCAAGCGGAGGCAGTGTGGGCACCGACATTTCATCCCAAGGCCTCCTCCACGGGTCACGCGCTGCAGCCTCGCTCCCTCCCAGAAGAGCAGGAGAAAGAAGAGGGACGCGAAGGTCGCAAGAGCACAAAGCTGCCATCTCTGGGTTAGGCCGGCGGTTGTCGAGGGGAGGCGGCAGCTAGAGCAGAGCTCGCGGGAGGGAAGCCTGCTAAAGAAACGCCGGGTTCTGTCTCCGCCAGATTTCTCTGCCCTCTCTGTGCCTCCACTTGAGTTGACACAAGCCGAAACGCAGTTGAACAGCCTCGACAACATCGCCCCCCAATTAGTTGGGCGCTGGCATTTTTCAAGGCCGCGATTCCCTGGTGATCAGGACAGTCAGCCCAGCGCCAGGAAGCCCCGGGTGCACCCCCGGGGTTGTCGTGACTTGACAGTCAGGAATTGCACAGCCTCGGTGCGCCTGATCCCGAGGGGTCGTTGGGCGGCCTCCTCCTCCCCCTCCCCTCACCATGGGTGCCACTGGCTTCAGGGTCGCTTTCTCTCTCTCTCACTCCCCATTTCCCAGCCTGCCAATTTCAATCGGAGAACCCGCAGCTTCCAGAGAGATGAGCTGAGAGGGCCTCGGATCCAATAGTCATTCAACAAATATAGTTAGAGTTCGCGCTCTGAGCGAGGCGCGGGGCAGAGTGGAATAGGACACAAGTCACAGCTTCGTAGGGAGACAGACGCACGAATAACAGTGACAGGATGATGTGCTGGGACAGGTCTGAACTGTTGGGATCAGAACTCGGTACTTAGCGGTCAATGGCTTTATCAATAAAAGTCCGTAGGACAGGGTTGCCACTCTCCCCTGGGCGTTGGCATCGGGATCAACCCCTTCTCGAGCTGTCCTCCTGGCTGGGACTCGAGCCCGAGAGTCCCAGGCGGCCAGACCCACCCACTGCGTCCCCAGGTGTGCTCTCCAGTGGAACTTCCAAGGAAGGGAGCTGAAGACTCGAGGTCCGGGAGGCTGTGGCGCGCTCGGGGCTCCTCGATTCCGTGTTTGCCCCGTCACCCCTACCGCCTCTACCTCGAGGGGCACCCTGCTTGGCTTGACCCAGCTAGGGTCCTGCCGGACGCCCTGCCGGGGGCGCCGCCCCGCCGCACGCCTCCGCCGGGCACCTCCCACCGCCGGCCTCGCTCCTCCTTTCTCCCCGGCGCGCGTCCTCCGCTGCAGGTGCAATCCCCGCGGGGACCCGGAGCGCGGCGGCCGGTCAGTGCCCTCGCTCTCCACGCCCTTGCAGCCGAGACCAGCCCGGGAGCACCTGCGCGCCGCCGGCTCCTCTCCGGGGCGACCGCGGCGAGCTGACTGGGCATGCTCAGGAGCGGGGCGGCCAGGCGCCGCGGGAGCCAAGCGCATGCAATCGCCCGGCTGGGCGCCGGCCGTCCAGGGGCGCGGCGCGCAGGCGGCCACGGTCGCCGACGCCCTGTCCAGCTTGGGCAGGACGCGGGCCAGGATGGCCTCCCTCACGGCTTACGGTAACGGCGGGCGATCGCGGGCTCCCAGGGCTGCTGGGGCGGGCAGGGCCCGGGAGCTGTCCGATCACCCCGGGAAACTTCTGGGCTTGGCTCCCAGCAGGGTCTGGAAGGGAGGGAACCGGTGCCGCGCGCGCCAGCTTGGGGCTGGGGGGGCCAACGCTCTGCGAGGCTGGAGGCTGCCTGGAACCTGGGAAGGGGGTGTTTGCAGAAAGAGTCGGCGGAGTGAAAACGCCTAAAATTCAGGAGGCATTTGGGAGCTTCGGGACTCCAGAAAAATTCCAATTGCTTCAGACCACCTAGGGGAAGGGATTTGGGTGTTGAGTCCTTTTCTAGAGGCGCGAGGCTTGGAGTTAGGAAATCTGCGTTCAGTCGGCTCCTATCTTGTCCATGACTGACCTTGGGCAAGTTATTGAAACTTTTCTGCTCCTGCATTTCCCCATCTGTAAATTAGAGATGAGAACATCTCTCTGACAGATGCTATGGGGTTAAATAATATGCACCAAAGTATGTTTTTAAGGCCAAAAAAAAAAAAAAATTCATCTTGGAAATAAAAGTTCCATGGAAATAGTAGACATTATTCCTCTCCCTCCTGTTTTTGGTTAAAGAAATGTATTTATTTTATTATTATTATTTTTAAAGGCATTGCACAATTCTAAAGGAAGACAAAATCACAGTGTGAAGGTTTCAGACTCAGCTAGAAATCCCAGCGCTCTGGGGAAGCTGACAAGGCTTTTTATTAACATCCCTGCTTATGGGGAAAAAGCAATTCTCTTTAGTCCTTTATCAGAGATGCCAGGTTATGGGAGGCAGAAACTCACTAGACCTCTCTCCCTTCCCTTGGCTTGCAATCAGTGGCTATGATCACATCTAGTTTTGACGTTTTAAACGTGAAAGTAGTGAGCAATTGTTGGAGAATGTTCTGCAGGGACGTCTCCAAGCCTGGGGTTGGTGGGAGAGAAATTGCTGCTTTTTGGTGTGGAGGCTTCATTCTCCAGGCCGGTGATGTCCCCTGCTCATTTCCCCAAGGTTAAAGGGGTCAGTCTCTCCTTCTTGGGATTTAAACTGTTTAAAATGATCACTCAGGTGGCCCTGAGGGTTTGCAATTGATGCTTGGGAACCACTAACATATTGTGAGCAGATTACAAATTGCATACTAGTGGCCTATTTTCTTTTCTTTTCTTTCTTTCTTTCTGTTTTTTTTTTTTTTTTTTTAACTCAGAGCATTTTTCTCTTGGGATGTGAGTTGTTCTTGCCCCTGCTGCACATTTAACACACAACATTGTTGTTCTTGGCTTACCATCTGGGGAGAATTCAACATTCTGCTGGTGTTTTAGGCATATTTATTGGCAGAATCTATTTTTACACCTTTTCCCATCAGAGGGATCTAACTTCTGGTTTTCACATCGTGTTAGATTTCACCTGCTGCCCTGTGAATACTGTCAGTAATAGGTTTACATAATAATCAGTTCTATAAATTTCTAGAAGCTTTAAAAGCTTAATTGGGCACCCAGGTGGAGAAAATGAAGTCAGAAGTGAAATTGTTTTTGAAAAGAAAGTTTATTTCAGTAATTAAAGGAAAAGAGTGGCAGATCACTTTTTGACAACTAAGAATTACACAGGTTTCTTTTTAGAAGCTTAAAGGGAAATGAAACAGATTTAAGTAAATATATCAATTAGAATTTGTGCTGTTTAAAATATATTCTTGACACACTCTCCTGCCTCCCCCATCACGAAAGTGGTGAATACCCCTGGCTGCAAAGTGCTCATTAATTCTTTGGTCTGTAGTGATGTGACCCGGTCATGACAAGTTAGTCCGTCAGGGTTTTCAACCTAGTGAACAAATACAGGAAAAACAAAATTGAACACATTCCATATATTTCTCACCCGCTGGATGCTGTCGACATCATTATCTGATCAGAGCTTGGCCCGGCTCTGGAACCTTCCACAAATCATCTCTCTGAAAATCTAACTGCTTAAAAAAAAAAGTTCCCTTTCAATTCTGTTGGATTTGGATTCAGATATTATAATGGGGTCTGATCTAAGTTTCTTGCCTGGAATTTATAGGGTTCAACTTTTATAATCATTTGGCTGATATAATAAATGCTTAGTCCTATCTTTAGCACAGGGGCTGCCAAGAGAATGAGCAGTTATACTGTAGACCGTGTGTTTTAGGTTCCTAAGGAGAGAGAGAAATTTGGCTTATGTATGTATTTCATTAGCAGCAGCCTCCAGTGAACCTCGTTAGCTTCCCATCCAAATATGCATTTTTTGATCCTATATTGGAACTTACTCTTTCTGTATTTTAGCATGAATTTTTACTTTCAGGCAGTCATCTAGACTCATATATTCTAGAAATGTGAAATGAGATTAGAGTAATCAATTACTGTAATATGCCCTCTAATAAATATATGTTCAATGGATGGTGCAATCTTTTAAATTTTGGATTTTTAATACGTCAACCTTTTGTATTCGCCACTGATTTTTCTTTCCTTGTCCTTTAAATGGTTTAAGTTCTTAAGCACTTTTAGCTCATTATGTAACCATATGCATGAGACCAAGGATGGGTGACAAGTCTCTCTTAGAAATGACTGGGACTTGATTCATTCTTGGCCGTGCAAAAGAAGGCACAGAGGCCGTGTCCCAGGCTGAACGAGGGAGGGACTTGTGCTTGAACCTATCAGCCTGGCATTGAGCTGTAAGCCTCAGATCTGAGGAGGCTTAGTAAGGGTTCTAAGGAGCTTATAGGGCACAGTGGGGGCTATTTCAGATAGGGAAAGCCTCTCTGAGGAAACATTTGAGCAGAGACATAAATGAAGGAAAGGAATGAGCCATTCCATTCCATGTGGATAAAGAACATTCCTGGTAAAGGGAAGAGTAAGTGCAAAGGCCCTGGGGCAGGAATGAGCTTGTCATGTTCAAGGCTAGCTGGAAGGTCAGTGTGGCTAGAGCAGAAAGAGCAAGTGAAAGACAAGAAGAAAATGAAGTCAGAGCCAGAATTGTTGTTATATCTATCCTCCCCTCATTTTCTAACGACTTCTTAAATTGCTTCTTCCTTGTGGAATTCTCCTTCTGTTTATGCTGATGTTTGCCTGGGCTCTGTCTTTGATGTTATAATCTCACTCTCAACCATTTAGATGACACCGATTAGACATCTGACAAATGCAAGACAACAGCCCCAAGTGCAGAGTCAGTCTCTTAGTGGGAGGCCTGTAAACTCGGGTGACAGTTTTCTATGTGGTAAGTAGAAGTGTCAGGTGTGCTGGGACACACAATAATAATGGCTCTTTATACAAATTAGCTCATTTAAGTCTCACAACAACCTTTAAGAAATTAGTCCAATGTTAGCTCCATATTCATTCGAAGAAATCGAGGCACAGATAGGCTGAAGAACTTAGCGTCACATAATGAGTGGGGAGCCCAAATGCAGAGTTTGGCTCTAGAGCCTGGAGAAGGGCTGGGGGTAGTTAGGAAGACGAAGAAAACGAGGGGCTGTGTGAGCGGGTGGGTGGTGATTCCAGGCAGAAGGTGTGGCTTGAGCAAAGGCTCAAAGACAGTGGACAACCAGAAGTTCTGGAGTTCTCATCGGAAGGAGGCGGGAGGTAGGAGAGCTAAGCCTAACCGTGCAGCATGGGAATGGAGTGGGGCGAAGAGATGAGAGCCCAGGACATGTTTCCCTCCTGTGCCTTTCTCTGTATTCAGATGACTCCCAAATAGAAAGCACCAACTCAAAACTTCTTTCTTGTGTGTGCTACGCTGTTTACCCACCTGTCTGCTAGCCTCTTCTGCCTGTATGCCCCTCTAGCATCTCAAACTCAATATCTCCAAAACAGAATTCTTCTCCCATACTTGTTTCCTGTAGAATTACTCTACTGAGCTCAAACTAAGTGCCAGGCTCTAGCCTGGACCCAGGAGTACCAGAATAAGTGAGATCTCACTCTTTCTCTCACAGATGGCGGAGTCAGCTGGAGGAGACAGACTCCTAAAGAGAATTATAATGCAGTGTTGTAGGGGAGGGGCTGGGAGGAGTGAGGGATGGTCAGGAGCAGTTACCTGGAGGAGGTGATGTTACAAGGCCGATTGGGAGAGGGAGGGCATTACAGGGAGGGGCAGCAGCATGAACAAAGATGAAGGGGAGAGATGGCAGGGGGGCATATGGCCACTGTTAGTAGCATGGTGTTGGTGGGGCCTGACATCCAAGACAGGAGAGGTTGGCAGGGGCCAGCGTGCTCTAGCCACTCACCTCAGCCAAAATCCTGAGAGTTGTCTTTGAGTCCTTCCTTACCAGAAAGTACTAACAGTGACTTTGAGGAAACTAAGTCACCTATTGTGCCTCAGTTTTCTTATCCGTAGAATGGGGTCACTATGAGGTTTAAATGCAATGGTATCTGTAGGTGCTTGAGTGGTGCATAGTGAGTACTCAGTAAGCATTAGCTATTACTGTCAAATGCCTCTCCAGACAGTATACTCTCCATCACCAAGTCCTGTTGCTTCTTTTTCCTTAAAGTCTTTCTACTCTGTTTTCTCCTCCCGCTGCCAGCTGCTCTTACGCTAGTCGAGGCCACCATCATTGCTCACTCTGACTGCACTAGCAGCCTCCCGGCTGGCCTCTAGTCCTGACTCCTTCTGATCCCAATTGCAAATCTGATCCTATTACTCCTCTACTTAAAACCCTTCAAGGGCTCCCCTCTGCTTGCGGCTCAAAGTCTAACCTCCCCAGCTTGGCCAACAAGGCCCTCCAGGAGCTGACCACCCTTCCTTCTTGCTGCCCTTGACCCCAGCATCTCACCCCTTAGGGAGGGAGGTGGGTTAGCATGGCTGATGGCACTAGGCTTTCTCAGGTGTCTGGATCTTGGCCTGTGCTCTGGAACACACCTCCCTCTTGCTTTACTAGGCTCTCTTGCCTCCCACTTGACCCTCTCCATCTGACCTGAGACCTCTCAGGGTGAGTCCTCCCCACAACAGCTTTTCGTTTTGTACTGTAATGAGTACTCCCCTCTGTG